GGGGACGAGAGGGGCACAGGGGTGGGAGGTGGGTATGGGTGGGGCAGTGCTGCCACCATCAGCAATGCTCTTGTCACTCTCGGGGCCTCTAGTTCAGTGGTTTCTTGGACTTTCCAGAGCCCAAACTGCTTCTTGTTTCCACAATGCAGAACTGGGGGCCTCTCAGAGCCCCCCAGGAGCGAAGGATGTTGGGGATGGGACCCAGCACCATCCTAGCCCAGGCCTGTTCCGTGATGCAGAGGGAGCCTGATCACTCTGGAACCTGTCCCCACCCTACCCTTCCCCAAAGAAGGCTCCTTCACCCAAGCTCCACAGCAAAGAGCAAGAACACCTGGAAGGCGGGGCCCACGCCACGTGGCTGGCCTTGCGTGTGTGAAGGGAACTCCGTGAGGGAAGTGGTGCACCCACGGGGAAGCGAAAGAAAACGCCACGTCAGCGACCAGACACATGGCCCTCAGGACCTCTCGGGGCCTGTGAGCCTCTTCCTCACACTGAACCCCAGCTACCTCCATCGGCTCACGGCTGCTCTCATTGCCCCTTGGCCTTCAGTGGGTGCCCCAGCTGGGGTGCCCCCCCTGTCCCTCTTCCCCATGGCCACAGGAACTTTCCTCCTCCCCCGAACCACACTAGACACCAATTCCTTGATGCCCTCCTTCCCCATCCTCGCTGGCTGGGCATGCTCTCCCCTCAGCTCTCTGCCTGCTGGGCCATCATGCCTCTCTCTGTCCCCCACTCCAGACCTGGGGGGAGGGGCCAAGATCTTGGGCTCGAGGTGTGGTTCCTGTGCCCAGCACAGGGCCTGGCCTATTATCTGGCCCAACAATCAATCAGATGGGCTCTGTGTCTCTGTGGTAAAACAGCAGGTGTGGGTAGCAGGTGGCGGTGGTGGGTGCTGCCTGGCAGCTTCAGGGGGCAGGTGCCACCCCACCTCTCACCTCATATAGGAGGCACTGCAGCAGGACAACCAGGGTGAGGGCCACGGCGTGCAGGCTGAAGAAGACATCGTTGATCTCCACGGGGTTCACTCCGTTCGGGTGTTGGAGGAAAAACTGCTCCTGTTGGGGGTGAGGGTGGGTGGTGAAACTGAGTGAGGGGCAGCCAGCCACGAACTGCTCGGGCTGGGCTGTGGTGGGCGGCAGGGCCATACCTTGATGTGTGGTATCCAGAAGAGGCCGACATTGAACACGCTGTAGGCCACGAAGCCCATAAGGTTCAGGGTGACGAAGTCAAAGCTCAGACCAACAACACTGGGAGGGGAGATGGAGACAGGGCAGCTGAGCCGGCCAGTGAAGGCATGGGAGGGGAGGAGAGGGGAAAGAGCTCCCAGGACATGGAAGGACGGCCCGGCTCCCCCAAGCAGAGCACGGGCCTTGGGTCCCCCTTCATGCCACAGTCAATCCCACCCTCTTGGGAACCAGTTTCCTTCTGCCACAAGTCCTGGCCCCCGAGGGAAGCTTGGGGCCTCCTGCAGAAAGGAGGCGTCTCCCCTCCCTGGCTTTCTGCTCAGCAGCCCGGCAGGAGGCCACATGGTGAGGGTGATTGTGGGAAAACTGTGTCCTTGCTGCATGAAGATGCAATCGCAGGCCCGCTTGTCTTCCCTTCCTCCCAGGGATGTAGAATTGTCACACAATATCCTATTCGTTTAAGAAATACACCATAGTGATTTGATATTTATGTACATTACAAAATGATCCCCACAACAGGTCACTCTACAGTCATTACAATATTACTGACTATATTCCCTGTGCTATGCGTCACATCCTCATGACTTATTTATTTTATGCCTGGAAGTTTGTACCTCTCAATCCCATTCACCTACGGCACCTACTGCCCAATCTCTGCCCACGACCCCGCTCTGGTAACCACCAGTTTGTTACCTATACCAATGAGTCTGTTTCTGTTTTATTTATTTTCAGATTTCATATAAATAAAATAATCCAATATTTCTTTTTTCTATCTATTTCACTTAGCATACACCTTATAGGTCCATCCATAAGGTTGTTGAAAATGGCACGATTTCATTCTTTATTACGGCTGAGAAATATTCCATTGTATATATGTACCACATCTTTATCCATTTGTCTATCAAATGGACATTTGGGTTGCTTCCATATTGCAAATGCTGCTGCAATGAACCCAGGGGTGCATATATCTTCTCATAAATTAGTGTTTCTGTCATCTTTGGATAAATACCCAGTAGAATTGCTGGATCACATGATAGTCCTATTTTTAATGTTCTGAGGAACCTCCATACTGTTTTCCACAGTGGCTTCATCATTTTAAATTGCCACCAGTGTATGAGTGTTCCCTTTTCTCCATATCCTTTACAACACTTACTACTTTTTGTCTTTGAATGACAGCCATTCTCACAGGCGTGAGGTACTATCTCGGGGTTTTGAACTGCATTTCCCTGGTAATTAGTGATGCTGAGCATCTTTTCATGTGCCTGTTGGCCATTTGTATGCCTTTTTGTGAAAAAAGGTCTGTTCAAGTTCTCTACCCACTTTTTAATAAAGTAGCTTTACTTAAAATATATATATATATATATTTGATTAATTTTTACAGAGAGAAAGGAAGAGGGATAGAGAGTTAGAAATATCGATGAGAGAGAAACTTTGATCAGCTGCCTTCTGCACTCCCCCCCTCCCCGGGATGTGCCCGCAACCAAGATACATGCCCTTGACTGGAACTGAACCTGGAACCCTTCAGTCTGCAGGCCGATGCTCTATCTACTAAGCCAATCCATTTAGGACAAGCTTACTTTTCTTGATACTTACTTATACATGTATAAGTTCTTTGTATATTTTGGCTATTAACCTCTTATCAGATATGACTTGCAAATATCTTCTTGTTCAGTAGGTTGCCCTTTCATTTTGTTGGTTTCCTTTGCTATGCAAAAAGCTTTTTAGTTTGATGGAATTCCATTTGTTTATTTTTGTTTTGTTGCCCTTGTCCGAGATGACATATCCAAGAAAATGTTGAGACTGATATCAAAGAGCTTACGGCCCATGTTTTCTTCTAGTTTTATGGTTTCAGGTCTTACATTCAAGTCTTTAATCAAAGTGGTGTAAGACAGTAGTCCAGTTTCATTCTTTTGCAGGTAGCTGTCCAGTTTCCTCAACATCATTTATTGAAGAGCTGTCTTTAACCCATTGCATATTCTTAACTCCTTTGTTATAGACTGACTGTATATGTGTGAGCTTATTCTAGTCGACCAGTGTTTCCCAAACTTTTGACATATGTGTACCCCTTCTATAATTTTCGTTACGCTGAGTAGAACGTAGAATTAGGCGTAGCTAAGCACGGTGAGTGCATATCTCCACCAAACTCTGGTGCAACGCGTACCCCCACCAAACTCTTCCCGTACCCCTGGGGGTACACATACCACACTTTGGGAAACACTGTATTGGTCTCTGTGTCTGTTTTTGTGCCAAGATGGTGCTGTTTTGATTACTATAGCCTTGTAGTATAGTTTGATATCAGGGGATATGATGCCTCTTCTTTTTTAAGATTGCTTTGGTTATTTGGGGTCTTTGTGGTTTTACCAATTTTATACCAATTTTAGGATTCTTTGTTGTAGTTCTGTAAAAAATGCCCTTGGTAATTTGATGGGGATTGCATCGAATCTGCTATTCCTTTGGGTAAGTATGAACATTTAAATAATATTAATTCTTCCAATCTGTGAGTATGGTATATCTTTCTATTATTTGTATCTTCGTCAATTTCTTTCATTGATGTCTGTTTTCAGAATACAGGTCTTTCACCTCCTTAAATTTATTCCTAGGTATTTTACTTTTTTAGATGCAACTAACTATAAATAGGATTTTCTTTCTCTTTCTGAAACATTGTTATTCGTGTATAGAAATGTGCTTTAAATGGATTTGCTCCACATATAGTCTAGGTGCCTTTAAAATGAGTTTTGCTGTGCCCAGGGTGGGCGAGTCCTTGCACAGGCCCTCGTAATATCCCTCCCTGCTGCAGGCCTCCGTGTGGGGAGATGGATGCCCTTCTTTGCCATGTCTCCATCTCTCCTACCCTTCTGTACGTGGTCCCTCTACGGGTTGTGCAGAAGCTGTTCAATAGGCCCTCAGTTTTCTCTCTTTTTAAAAACATATTTTTATTGATTTCAGAGAGGAAGGCAGAGGAAGGGAGAAACATGAATGATGAGCGAGAATCATTGATGGACTGCCTCCTGCACACCCCCTACTGGGGATTGAGCTTGAAACAATGCATGTGCTCTTGACCGGAATTGAACCCCAGGCCCTTCAGTCTGCAGGCCAATGCTTTATCCATTGAGTCAAACCGGCTAGGGCTAGGCCCCAATTCTTTAGCAGGAGCTGCTCTATATGTAGCACATATTCCATATGTCTGGGAGGAAGTGAATTCAGGGCCTTCCACTTTGTTTTTATAATCAAGGTGGGAAGGTTTAATCTCCAAGGCTGAAGGATCCACCTCCGGTACTATAACACAACTTGACATTAATTCCTCCAGGGCTGGACGGACCGAGATAAGGGAATATTTGGTGGACTTCGCCTGCACCCAGCCCATTCTCCACTCTCTGAGAAGCCCCATGGTGTTGCTTTCACAGGGAGGAGCTGAATCGGGCAAGAGACCAACTGCCCAGCAGTACAAGTGCCATCACAGGCTCTTAGAGCTCTCACCTCAACAACTTTCTAGAAAGGGCAGGAAAGGAGATAAGCAGAGCGAGAAAGGCTGAACCCCTGCTACCTACTGCCTCATGGGAATGCCCGTCATACGGGCACCAAATGAACCTGAACACACAGCTCAGCAAGTTACCTTTTCCGCCTCCAGTTCAAGATCACCTGCGGGTAGAAGGAGACGGACCAGGCTGCAAAGTAGATCCAGCCAATCACCTGGTTTATGATACTGACGACGTTGCTGCGGATCACCAAGAAGTGTATCCTCGGGCTGAAAGGATTTGGGGACCAGGATGAGCTGAAACGGGGCTCCCAAGGGAAACCCCCACGTGCCAGCGCTGCCTTCCTACCCACCATTTAAACCCCAGCTTACCCGGTTTGGTTGGAATGATTTTTGTGCAGAAAAACAGTAATTTGTCCCACATTTCGAGATGTCACTTGAAAAGAGGACTCTGTCACTCCGGGAGGCACCACAACCTATAGAAAAACTGAATTTGATTCAGTGCCATGTACTTGTTGGGACCTGAGTGCCCAGCTGCAGACTATGCACTAGAAAATGTAGGGACAGATCACACAGGGTCCCTGCCTTCCGGGAGCTTACTAGCCAAAGGGAGAAACACGACCCACCAGCCAAATGGGACCCCCCATACACTTATGTGTTATGTTAGACTTTCTGAGCAGAACTTGGTTCTGCCCTTGGGCCTATCCCTGGCTCATCTCTGAGGGAAGGTGGGACGGCGCCCTTCCTCTCACCAGCCACGTGATCTGTGGATCAAGCCAGACCTCAGAGAGCTGAATGCCAGGATCTGCTGTCAGAACCACTGGCTTTTCTTAGCCTGCAGCAGGAGGCACCAGGGGTGGGAGGAGTTGTGTCTAATGATGTGTGTGTTCACCGTGGGATGAGATGAGTTTTCCTTCTCACAGGAAGCCCATGCTTCCACACGGTCTGCTTGCTAAGGGGCTCAGAGCCAGTTTGCAGCCCATTTCTACAATCACACAGGGCCTCGTGGCATGGCATGCCTTACGGTCATCAGTTTCATCCCTGTGTTCATCTTGTCTGTTTTTTTGTTAAAACCCTCGTTTACTTTATTTTATTTTTTAAAATATATATATTTATTGATTTCAGAGAGGAAGAAAGGAGAGAGAGATAGAAACATCCATGATGAGAGAGAATCATGGATTAGCTGCCTCCTGGAGATTGAGCCTACAACCCGGCCATGTGCCACTGACCAGAATCGAACCCGACCCTTCAGTTCGCAGGCCGACACTCCATCCATTGAGCTAAACCGGCTAGGGTCCTGTTTACTTTATACTGTCTCCCCTACTGATTTTTTAAAAAATCTAATTTATCAGTAATTGGCTCAAATCCTTCATAAGGCAGAAGCAGGTTGCATATTAACAGACAGATGTGTAAGGGCTATGAATAGTTATTGCTGTAATACCAGGCAGACTCTGGCACTGGGTTTTGGAAATAACACTCAACCAATGGGCTCTCAGAACAGTGCTTTGCAAACCTTAACGTGGATCCAAATCATCCCGGGGTCACGCTCAAGTGCAGATTTTGAATCAGTGGATCTGGAGCGGGGCCTGGTAGTCTGCATTTCTAAAAGGTCTCCAGCAGGGACAAAAGTCTTCTTTGTGGAGCAAAGTCTTAGAAAACGACCTTAAGAATTTCTTCTACATTCGCAGAACCATTTTCTGCCTCACATTTCTTACCATCACCTTCCTAATTCCGTCTACACGGCATAAGATGACCGTCCTCAAGGAGACCAACAAAGCCAAAACCAGACTTCTAGAGGGATGGGACAGGGGCAGCCCACAGCCTAAAGACACGGTGGCCTACTTCCAGAAGCACTTAATTAGAATGTGTTTTGTTACCCAGCAGGGCTCTATCCACCAGTGATGGGTCATTACTTACTTCATCCGGCAGCTCAAGGATAGTGATGTTTTTTGATTGAAATGTGATTTCAAAAGTGATCACCAAGGTTGCATTCAGCGGATGCCTATGGGGGACAAGAGTGTGATTACTACTGAGGAGTACGACACTGTGCGATCTCAGCCCCCTCTGGATTTCACACAGGGCCTGCCCTTGCTCAAGCAGTTAGGGTGAGGCAGTGCTATGGGCTCAGTCTGAGGGGGGAGAAGGTGGGCTCCCTGCTCCTAAGGAGTTTTCTTTTTTAAAATATGTATTTTTTTGCCGAAACCAGTTTGGCTCAGTGGATAGACTGTCAGCCTGTGGACTGAAGGGTCCCAGGTTCGATTCCGGTCAAGGGCATGTACCTTGATTGCGGGCACATCCCCGGCGGGGTGCGTACAGGAGGCAGCTGGTCGATGTTTCTCTCTCATCGATGTTTCTAGCTCTCTGTCTCTCTCCATTCCTCTCTGTGAAAAATCAATAAAAAAAATATATAAAAAAATATATTTTTATTGATTTCAGAGAGTAAGGGAGAGGGAGAGAGAGAGATACAAACATCAATGATGAGAGAGAATCACTGACAGGCCACCTCCTGCACACCCTCTGCCAGGGATGGAGCCCACAAACCAGGCATCAAACCGTGACTATCTGGTTCCTAGGTCAACGCTCAACCACGGAGCCATACTGGCTAGACAGGAGTTTTCTATCTTTATCAGAGGAGATGTCCCCTACTGGAGCTGACTGAGAACATGAGAAGGTGTGAAACTGGCTGTGAATGCCAAAGAAGGTGTCCAGGGGCCGACTGGACCATGACACCTGCTCTGGTGGGAAAGGCACGAGACTCAGGTCTGAGCAGGGAGCTTTGTGTCCCCAGAAAGCCATGAGACAGTCTGAGCAGCCCCTGGGGGCTCAGGTCTGCACTGAGAGGCCTGGCGTTAATGTAGAAGACTGTGGAAAGCCACTCCAGGGTTCTGGAGAGGGGAGAGCTGTGGTGAGGAGATTCACAAGGTCTGGGTGCAAGTGGCCAGGCTATAGACAGAATGTAGGTCTGTTGGGGAGCCTTGGTACCAAAGCTTTGGTTTGAGAACAGACTTCTCAGGAGGGGTGAGGGAAGGGAGATGGAAAGAGAGAGAAGACAGGGCTCCAGACCTTCCTCTACAGGATCCATGTGACTGGAAGGCAGGTGCAGGGTGAAGCAGGGAAGGATACACCAGGAGGCTCTCAGCACAGTCTGAACTAGGTCGGCACCCTCATGCGGAGGTCAGCAAGAAAGACCCTCGGTCAAGGCTAAGTGTGAGGGTCACACAAACGAGATCCACCCGATGGAGACACTTCTGCTTTGGAAGTGATCTAACAAGAGCTCAGCTCCTTACCCCGGACCTCAGGGCTCTCCTCAAATACTCAGAGCCTTGGAAAGGGCCACTCTGAAGTCTGGCATCAACTGCTGGTCACTCAAGGACTCTTTTCGGCTGGGCAAAAGGCTCATGACTGGGGAGAAGCCCCCTTCCTGCTCCGCCCACCGGAAGCAAGGGTTCTGTGAGTGGGGGAAGAGAGACTCTGGGACCTCAGTCTGCAGCCCAGGGCTAGTGCCTCTCTTCCTCTGGCTTCTCTGAAAGTGACGAGGCATGAGCATCACACTTGAAATATGAAGGGACTGAGCCACCATGGGGTGACGAGCTAGGCCGAGGGCAGTTCCGGGCCTGGGGACTTACTGAAGGGTGATGCTGACGTTGGTTGAGCTCCCATTTTCCAGCTTCACAGTGGGAGGAACAGCAAGGTCGACCGTCGACTCTGGAAGGACCCGAATCAGTGGCCTTAGTCATGAGGTCAGAGACTTAGGACCACAAGGAGAGACGGACAAGGGCCCCTGCCATCTGAGCTCAAGAACTATGCCTCATGATGACCCCTATCTTCCAGGTGAAGACACGGAGGTTCTGAGGGACTAAGTGATGTGACTGGAAACCAAAGCCCTCCTTATGCTCTTTCACCTCCTCCTGCCATTGGAGGGAGACACAGGCCTGAGCAGGAGACGCTGCTGCTTCCTCCTCTCCAGCATCACAGGCTCTGAAGGTGTGCAGCCAAGTTATCCAGAGATAGTTTTAGAAACTAAAGGAATTCAAGCCACAACCCGGGACTGGAAAACGGGGACTTGAACCACCTCTTCAGACGGAAGTCACAGGAGTCTCCTCTGTTTGTGGGGCTTCAATGGCCTGCAGAAGGGGTCCAGTCTATCCTTGAGCATTTCTTTGATTATTGCCAGCTGAGTTCAGTGGCATCGGTAGAGCCACGTCCTGGAAACATACTGTGCCACAGGCAGCTATGTTGTCAGCCTGACCCTTAGCTCAGGTGCCAGGGGGTGGGTTTCTTTATCTAAGTTCAGCCAGGAGCAAGGGACGGATGCAATTATCTGGGTTCAGCCAAGAGTGACAATTACAAAAAAGCCATAAGAACAGCCAAAACCGGTTTGGCTCAGTGGTAGAGCGTCGGTCTGCGGACTGAAAGGTCCCAGGTTCGATTCCGGTCAGGGGCATGTACATTGGTTGTGGGCACATCCCCTGTAGGGGGTGTGCAAGAGGCAGCTGGTCGGTGTTTCTCTCTCATCGACGTTTCTAGCTCTCTAGCTCTCTCCCTTCCTCTCTGTAAAAAATCAATAAAATATATTTAAAAAAAAAGAATGAAGTATTACAGCTTGATTTTACCATGATTTCACATAATTCCTTTGTCTTAAACTCTAGTAAAACTTCCTATAATTATACTGTATAAAATGAACGCGCTGCACCAGCTTTGGGGTCACTGTCTCTCCATCAGAGGGCCAGCTGTCCACCCGGTCCCAGCTTTCCCTACTGTCTCGTGTCTGTCTCTTTCTTTTTCTCAATCCCCTGTCGCCCCTACTCAGGACTTGTGTCCGCTCTCTAGCCGTGCTGGTCGCGGTCCAAGAGAGAAATACTGGATGTGAGGGCGATCTGGCTGCGACATGTGTCACCCCATTGATCGCCAGGGTTGATTCGGCTGATCTGGCTGGCTAGGCGGGTGTCCCCCTCCTCCCTCACTGATCCATGTGTGTCCCTCCCGAAGCTGCGCGCTCGGTCGAAGAGGACGACTTTCCCCCAAGAGGAGAGGACCGGTCTTCGGTCAAGGGTATACGAGTAGCTGCGCTCCCCTGCTAGAACCTCCAAACAAGCTCCCAAGAGAGAAATACTTATATGCAGACACATGGGCCCAGTTAACTTGTTTCTCAGAATACTCTGTTGGGTTCCCATATGAACCTGAACCCAGCTCAACCCATTCACTGATCCCCTTCCTGAGGCTGACTCTGCTGGGGACTAGGGGAGACTGATTTCTTCTTGGCTTTGAGGTGTTAGCTTAGGATGAGGTAGACAAACAGGCGTCCAGGGTGAGGGGAGAAGCAAGTTTGGGAAATACCCCAGAGCAATTTGGCTACAGAACATGAGTGAGTCAGCCACTCTCTGCCCTCTTCCTGTGTTCTTAGGGCTGCACCCCCACCCCCACCCCAGGTGTGCTCACAGATCCGGCACCTGTCCACCTCCCCTCCCTCCCCACCAGGCCTTCAGGATTACGCACAGCATAAGGTATGGGCATGAATCTAGAATGGAAGTGGAAGGGGGCCCACAGCGGGAAAGCAAACGCTCAGCCTGATGAAGTTGGTCTTTGCTGGGTAGCAGCCGCAGGCAGGGCCCAGGTCTCCCTCTCCCCAGACCATGAAAGGCCGAAGGTAAAGAATGAGTTTAGGTGCCCAGGTGGGAAGGTGCCCAGGGGCCTTCAATGTCTGATCCCCCTTCTCAATACTCTGCCTGTCATCCTGGAGTAAGCCCCTCCCCTCCAAGGGAATGGGCCAGCCTGGAACTTGCACTCCTGGGCCTGGCTCTGCTCCCCAGGGCCTCTCAGACCCTATCGGAGCCACCTTCCTCAGGCTGACCCTGCATGTGTGAGTGCAGATGCAGACTCCGTCCCGTGTCTGCAAGTCTCCAGCTGACTCCCACCAGGGTCGCTCTGAGCGGCATGTCCCCCCTGGCCCTTGCAGAGGCCAAGCTGCACAGAGTAGGAAGGTCCCTCCCTTACGTGTAGCCTTGGGGCTCGGAGGCAGCTTTGCCAACTCCTCTTCTTTTTCACTCCCGCTTCCATAAACAGCCTGCGGCTTTGTTCTGGGCTTGCACAGCTCCGGCAGGTCCTTGCTGTTACTTTCCACTAGAGCTGAGGACCATACCAGATAAGCAACACTGTGACAAGATGGTACCCAGGTGAGGGTACTGAAAGTGATGCCAGCCCTAACTGGGTTGGCTTAGAGGATAGAGTGCCCGCCTGTGGACTCAAGGGTCCCGGGTTCGATTCCGGTCGGGGGCATGTGCCTTGGTTGCGGGCACATCCCCAGTGGGGGGTGTGCAACAGGCGGCTGATCGATGTTTCTCTCTCATTGATGTTTCTAACTATCTATCCCTCTCATTTCTTCCCTGTAAAAAATCAATAAAATATATTAAAAAAAAAAAGTGGAGTCTGTGAATGCTCAACAAATCAGATCAAGGGATGTTTACTTCCCTCTCACTCAGTGCCTCGAAGACAGCAGTGCTCAGCAGCCGAGAGACTGGGCTCTGAAGTCAAACAGATCCATCATGGCTCTGTCGCCTCCTAGCTGTGTGACTCTGGGTGTACTTAAGCCTGTTTCCTCAGCTGTGAAACGGGGAGAATAGTACTACCCATCTCACAGGGCTCTGTAAAGAGAAAGTGATGTTTGCGACTTTCCACACTGAGCGCTGAACAATTGCTGTTGACTATTCTTATCATGTAAACAAGGCAGGACATTCTTTTTTTTTTCTTTTTTTTTTTTTTTTTTTAAGTGGGAGGCAGTTAGAAAACTGGCATCAATCCTGGGAAAGCACACTTTAAAGTTCGCCCTGGGGCAGGAGTCTCTGGACACACAACATTGGAATTACCAAATGAATCTTAATGAGACCACCCCAAGTTTCCTCTAAGGAGAGTCTGTTTTCATATCTATCTATCTATGTTTTTATTGATTTCAGACAGAGGAAGGGATAAGGAGAGAGAGAGAAACATCAGTGGTAAAAGAGAATCCTCTATTGGTTCTCCTACCTGCCTCCTACCAGGGATGCAGCCCACAAGCTGGGCATGTGCCCTGACAGGGAATTGAACCAGGGCCTTCTGGTTCATGGGTAAATACTCAACCACTGAGCCAACCTAAGGTCCCTGGTGACTACTCCCCAGAGCAAAGAGAAGACAGGCCTGCCAGATATTAGAAAGCCAATCCCAGTTATTTGATTTTATGGTAGTTTCCACTGTTTATGACACTCAGGAAAGGAGGCAGAATGGTAGAATGGAGTAGACCTTGCTCAGGTCCCATCTTTTTACTTTCTAGCTCTGTCTTTCTAGGTCTTTGGGGAAGACCTTTACCCTCTCTGGGCCTAAATTCCCCCTCTGTATAATTGAGGTGGATTTGTTGTTCTCTAGAGCAATGCATTACCATTGCTAATGGAGCTTTATTTAAAGCCTGCCAATGCATGTGTGTCCCAGAGAATGTGACCCAGCAGGTCTGGAGTGGGGCTCTGGCATCTGTACCAAGAAATACCAGGCTGCAAATGGAAATTGCTTATCCACAAGGTATGATTATAAAGTAACATGGCTGACTTTTTAACAAACCTGGAAGAGCTGGTCAGGTACGTATGTTCTCAGAGATCTAAGAGGCCGGATAACTGGAATGGTGCAACTGGAAAGATTTGCATTGTTTGAACAAGGTTCATTTGAAATCTTTGGTCAGGGATTGTTAAGATCTGATTTTTGACGATGGCCAAAATAATGGGTCTGGGGTCCTCGAAGTGCTCAGCACAAATTCCTTTTGTGGAAGGAATCTCAGCCATGTTTTGGGCAATGGGAGAATTATTGGAATGATACAGGTCTCTAAGAGCCCTGCACTAAAAGTCATGCCCTATAAGGATATACAGACCCTTATGTGTTTTTTGGACAATGAGCCAGTGTTCTGCGAAGCCCCTAGCCCTGTTCCTCCGTCCCTCTGGAAGGGAACGGTTTTCTCATCTTACGAGGGGACGCTGGGCAGACTCTTTAAGAGTTTGGGGCGAGGCAGACCCAGGCACAAGGTGGCCACACCACGCTTCTGCAGCATCTCCTAGAAGCCATAACTCCCTCTGTGAGGTCCGCAGGGCAGGAACACAAACCCTTCTTTACAGGTAATACCCCAGATTGTTGGAGCTCCACAGTTCGATTTTGGTAATACAGATAAGGTAATAAGGTTCCCAGCACAGAAGGCCGATGACTTATTTATTATCTTTAGAAAAGCACACAAGACTGTATTGACTGCAATAAAAACATATTTAGGACACTGAAACCAGGACCACTTCTCCCCTGGTTGCAAATCTCACGGGGTCCTTAGAAATTAGGGGATATGTGCCCATGGGGGAGAGAGAGGAAGAAGGGAATGGCGTGGGTGTGCTCTCTGAAGGGAGAGCCCCAGAAGGCCAATTTTTTATGGAGTCACCTGACCCCTTGTAAAACTCCTGGACCCCAGACCTGGGTCTGCTCCACCACCTGTGGCTGCTTGACCAAGGGCCAGGCAAGCCCACGCAGTCTGGACAGAACTAAATTCTGGGCTACAAACAAAAAGTCAGGCTACTTAGTACTCTATTTCCCTCTTTACAAAGTTGATGACCCATTTCTAAACTTACCGCATTTCTCTATGAGCTTCAGGGGAAAAAGGATAAAAATAACCAGCCAACTCCTTATCATGTTCTTCAATTTCAAAGAACTGGTGAGAAAAACAAAGAGCAAGAGAAGTTCAGGTTAAAGTTGGATCAGAAGTGAAATATGCTGCCTGGTCAATATGCCCCCTGGAACCATGGCATGAACTGTCTATAAAGGACTTTCACTTCACGCCCGTGGCCTCATGGGCTTTGCATCAGCAGCTTGCAGAACAGGACTCCAGGGAGGGCTTATCTTTAATATACAGTGAAATGGGCTCAGAGAGACTAAGTGGGTTGTGTAAGGGTTCACTCTGAGGAAGTAGGCAAATACTGAATTTTCTCTTCTTCAACTGCTTCCTGCAACTTAACAAAAAGAAAGAATGCAGTTTTACTGGTTTAGAGTTCCTTTCCCCCAAAAATTATTAAGATTGTGATCAGATATCAGACTTTGTGAACCTATAAACATGAAGGAAATTGACTTCATTCCCTAACTTAGGATAAGAGCCTAAGGGTTGTTATCTTCCTCAAAACTGTCGAAAAAGGCGAAACCCAGCAGTTCTTCCCTTCTTCAGTCTGAAAGTCCCCGGAGGGTGGGGTGAGGTGGGGCCTGCTCCTGCCCACAGCCCTGGAGCCCAGCCCATTGCTCAGCACTTACTTTCCCCGGAGTTTCTGAAGGGTCCTTTTGGAGTCTCCCTTCTCCAAAAGCAACCTGTAAACTCCGCGACTCAGAATTGGGCGGCAACTAAGCGGAAGGCGGGGAAGGGGCTCGGACCACCCATACGCCCTCGACAGCACCGTGGGCCCTACCTCCGCCCACCACCACCCGTGGCCTCGAACCTGGAGACTGTCAGTGTCGCTAGGACAGGACTAGTGGCTAAGGGATGGAACCCCGGCGCCGCTGAGCTGGGCTGGATTGGCGGCAGGCTGCCAACCGGCTTGCTGCACCAGCCCCTGGGCCTCAGGGGGTGCCCTTGGGGAATGGGGAGGAGGCTGTCGGGGCCGTGCCGGCTCTCACCTGAGATCTTCTGAGGCTCTGGGACCGACCCACGAGTCGTAGGAGATGCTCCGGGCCGTACCCGCTTCCCCGGTCCGGCTAGATCTGCGAGAGGGCGGGCCCGAAGTCACCTGATCCCAGTCACCTGACTCGCGGAGTCAATGGGTTCGCGCGGTGCATGCTGGGAGTGGTAGTTTTGAGGCGTCTTAAGCAGGGTTGGGGAAGCGGAGGCACCTTGGCAGGATGGAGGCTCGGTGTGAGGGAGCCTTCAGCCACTTTTAGGGACACAGAGGCTCTCCGAGTCCCGAGCGCCTGTCCGAGGACCCTGCACTCGTTCTGAGAGCGAAGCAGAGGCTGTCCTGCGGAGGCAGCCGCCGCGGTCAGGGAACCCCAGCCCGAGAGGGCGGTGTCCCCCAGGTCCCGCCTTCCGCCGTCTCTCCGCCTATCGCCGGGCCTGCCGTGCGGGGCTCCCCCTCCCTCGGCCAATGGGAAGAAGATCGGCCTTCGCTTTGCGTGTGGCTGACAGCTTGGCCGGCGAGGCCCCGCCCCCGCTCCTCGGTCCCGGGTTTAGGGTGCAGGAGGGCGCCCCGCCCCGCGAGCAAAACCTACGCTGGTCCCACGGCCATGGCTGCACCATCGGTCGTGCTGGGCATCGACCTGGGCACCACGTCTGTGAAGGCGGCCGTGGTGGAGGCGGCGCCTGACGACTCATCGGGGTTCGTGGTCTTGGCCAGCTGTGTCCGGGCCGCGCGGGCAGAGGCGGCTGCCCAGAGCGCGGCGGCCGGGCCCCAGGTGAGGCAGTGTGTCCTGGAGCTGCGCCGCCTCCAGGGTCCCCGGACCCCCCTCTTCTTCCTCTAAGGGGCCACCCCAACACCCCCTTCCTCGGAGAAGTCTTCCTGACTGCTCCAGCCTGCCTGATCTCTCACCTGCCTGTTGCACCCCACTTCCCCCATAGGTTAAGGCCTGTCACCGAGCTCCCCACTCTCTGGCCTCCTCTGGGGGCTTGCCCGAAGTGCTTATCCCGTGCTCTCTGCCCTCCACTTTCTGTATATCCTGACCCGAGGGGAATTCCTCTCCTTGTGTAATTCTCCGCACACCTGCTTGTGTCCTCTAGTTTAGGATTGTTTGTTCCCCAGGGCAGAGTTTGGGTTTTCCTCTGGAAATCAGATGCAGAATCAGGCCTAACAGAGAGCAAAACGTGGACTGAACAACTCAGACACCTGGTCAACAAAGGTCACCCTTCCCCCTGCCTCAACCCTCCCCTCCACCCCCCAAGGAAAAACAGATTGAAGGACAGATAGATAAAAGACTTTGGAAGAAAGACAGATAGATAGAAAGATATTGAAAGCCGTCCTTAGAAAAGTTCAGATTGATAATGATACACCACAATGGTTTATCTTGTGAAATGTAACCATGCACTACAATCCGTCTTGTGAAAGCTGCAGGAGAGAATTGGAGGATTTTACCACAGCGGGCCCTGCTGTGAGACGTGGGCTCAGAAAAGGTGTCAATCCTCAGAGCTGTATACCATTAATTCCCTGGAAAAGGTGGCTGTATGTTTAGTTACTTGACCATGGAAATTAATACCAGGGAACTTTGAGTAACCCTTTTTCTGGTTCTCAGCTTGTTCTTCTCCGACTTGAAGCAGATGGCCTCTGGCCCCTTCCAGCCACAAACCTCCACTTCTGAGCCAAACACCACTCCCAGGAGCTGTTTTCCCAACTCTGGCCACAAATCGGACTCTGTTCTTTAGGGTTCAGAGTCCGTCTTGCTCAGAAGCATTTCAGAGGATTAAGGTTTCAGGAACACTTTGCATTTTCATGGAGGCTTTCAAAGTCAGCTTGGCTGGGGTGGGAGGTGGGGGGTGCATCATGGCATTTTAGACTGATTATTTCACTTCAGGACTGGCTCTGTGGGAGTGAGCTGCAGAGCCGGGATTACAGGGAGATGGTTTAGACAGTGCCCTATTCTGAAATAGGCCCTTCTTGAACGTTACTTTCCCCACTTCCCCCAGCGTTGCAGGCACCTCTGTGTTTGTAGACACACCCAGTGCACCTGCCTAATAAGGTTTAGGGGAGGCCAGTGATAGCCCCTCAGCAAACCCCACATGTGTGTTGTGCTCTGGGACAGATAGCATTCCTATAATTTCATCTATGGCAGGATTTCGCCAACCTTGGCACTGCTGATTTTTTTTGAGCTGGGTGATTCATTTTTAAAAAAAAATATATTTTTATTGATTTTGTACAGAGAAGAAGGGAGAGAGCTAGAGAGCTAGAAACATCGATGAGAGAGAGTCATCGATCAGCTGCCTCTTGCACACCCCCTACTGGGAATATGCCCGCAACCAAGGTACATGCCCTTGACCGGAATCGAACCCGGGACCCTTCAGTCCCCAAGCCGACGCTCTATCCATTGAGCCAAACCGGTCTCTGCGAGCTGGGTGATTCTTTGCTGTGGGGCTCTGCCCTGTGCCTTGTAGGATGTCTAGAAACATCCCTGTCCTCTACCTGCTAGCAGAATTCTCCCTAAGTGTGATACCCCAAAACATTCCCATATGGCCATATGTCCCCTGGGGACAGAAACCACTGGGGTGAGAACCACTGATGGTTAGAATAGTTGATGGTTCTGTTCTTTCCTCATAACCATGCTTCTTAGTCTTTAGAAGTATTGTGTACACCATGGTCAAGCTTGGCAGCTATGTGAAAGGTCAGGCTCTTCTGTATTTGCAATTAGGTTTTTTGTTTTTGTTTTGTTTTTTTGAGGGAAACTCTGTGACCCTTTCTGCATCATTAATTTTTTTCTCTCTGGGCCTCAGTTTCTTCAATTGGTAAAAAGAGGCATAAAGGATGAGGGTTGACTGAGTTTCTAAGTTATTTTTTCAACTCTATAAAGCTTTAGGATTTGATCTGGATGCAGACCAGTTGTTAATCTGAGCCAAGGAATGGGGACAGCGCCTTTCCTGTCATCGTGGGCGTGCCCATTGTCTGTTCCCCATCACACCCCTGCAACCGGAACGAACTGCTTGCTGAACACTGTCCCCTTGTTTTCACTGCTATCTGGCCTGTTTTCCTCCTCCTCTACTGTCCCCACCCACACAACTCACCCCCCTGGGCCCATTTTAAACAGCAGCTCCTCTGTCCTGGGTAGATTCTCCATCTGATTGCCATGTGTGACTTCTTAAAAAAAAAAAAAAAGATATGTATGTATATATATATATATATATATATATATATATATATATATATATAATTGATTTTTTTACAGAGAGGAAGAGAGAGGGATAGAGAGAAACATCCATGAGAGAGAATCATCAATCAGTTGCCTCTTGCACACCCCCTACTGGGGATGTGCCCGCAACCAATGTACATGCCCTTGCTGGAACCAAACCTGGGACCTTTCAGTCCGCAGGCTGATGCTCTGTCCACTGAGCCAAACTGGTTTCAGCAATGAAAATACATTAAAAAGAAAACAACAACAACTGCCTATTATCATGGAAAGATGAACACCCTTGTTGCCCAAACAGTGGAGTCCCACCCCAGCCTTCATAGCCTACCTCTCCATGCCTGTAATTCCTACTTCCCCATGTAATCATTGTCCTACCCTGTATAAGCAGCTGGCTTAGGGGGGTCTGCAGAGCAGATTTTCGTGGGTGGCCTGCTGCTCTCCCATACTGCCGGCAGCATTGGAATGAATGCTCCTGTGTGATTCAATCCTGTCTCTGCTGAGTTGGCTCAAGTAGTGACAGGCAGCCCAGACCCATTGGAAGAGCCACTGATTGGGTCCCAGCCTCTCCTCTTTTCCAGCCTCTTCGCCCACCGCTCCCTTGCAGAGCCCATCCCCCTGGTTCTGTACCAGGTCTCCCTGGCCTTCCTCCTGCCTGCCTTCTGGAGGTGGGTTTTTGTTTCCAAGTCCAGGGCCTGGCCCTCAGGCCACTAAGGAAATGTTCCTCGCTGCTGTGTTTCAGCCTTCTCATACTCCAACTCTCTGTGGCTTATTCCTCCTGACAGCATGGTCTGCCTGAGCTTTCCTACCCTTCCTGCTAGGTGGCAACTTCTTGTAGGGCAGGGGCAGTGCTCTCCTCAGCTCACTGCACCCACAGTGACGTGGCGGGCAGGGCCTGGGCCGTTTGCCCAACTTGATCTGCAGCCGTGTCTCATCGTAAAGTGGGGGGAAGTGCATGCAACTTTACCCACCACGTTCCTGCTCCAGGTCAGGGGAGGTGGGGAGAACCCTCAGGCTCACAGCTCTTCCCTGAGGCCAGTCAGCATGTGGCCCCAGTGGAATTAGCTGGGCAGCCACTGGCCAGGGGATTCCTCCAAGCTCTTGCCCCAGGTGTCTGTTCTGTTCCAGGCGCGGGAGCAGGATGTGAGTAGAATCATCCAGGCCCTGAACGAGTGCCTCACTGCTCTTCCTCGGCAGCAGCTCCGCAGAGTCCAGGGCATCGGAGTGTCAGGACAGATGCACGGAGTCCTGTTCTGGAAAACAGGCCACGGTATGCTGGGCCCCGGGGTGGTCACACGCTGTGAGGAGTCCCGTGGAAAGCGCTGTCTGGAGGGTCAGCGGTGGGGAGGCAGGGGCACACGCTGCCTCGTATTTTGTGTCTGTCCTGACTCGTACAGATGTGTGAGTGAATGTGAACAATCCATCCATTCGACATCATCAGCCCATTAGCCAGGAGCAGGAGGGGGAAGTCTCTCTGAGTCTCTGTAGGATTCCGTGCAGTGGGTTTTCGTAGCTTTCTCTGTATGTCAGTGCTCAGAGCATCACTGCTGGCAGCCAGGAGGTCGTGCAACTGTAGGAGATGCCAACACACAGAGGAAACACTTCTGTTTTGTTAAATTATTATTAATATAATCACAGATGTTTGTGATTTTGAAACTCCAGGGTGTGTCCTTTCTATGGGCTCAGTTGCTAGCGAGGCATTATTTAGTTGATCATCATATACCAGGTCTGCCCTCGTGCCGAGGCGGCCCACTTGTTCTGTTTGGCTCCAGGAGGAGAATGAAGCCAGCGAAACAGCAGTGAGCAATTTACATGCCAAGTGCTAGGCGAAGGATGCTACCTGCATGATCTCATCCAACTTTCCCAATCCCTGTGACGTGGGCTACATGACTGGCCCCCGCTGTGCACACGGAAAGTTGAGATTCTGAGAGATTAAAATAACATGCTTGGGGCCCTGTTCAGAGTGTTGGCCTTCGGACTGAAAGGTCCCAGGTTCAATTCCGGTCAAGGGCACATACCCGGGTTTTGGGCTCGATGCCCTGTAGGGGGCGTGCAGGAGGCAACCAATCAATGATTCTCTCTCATCATTGATATTTCTATCTCTCCCTCTCCATTCCTCTCTGAAATCAATAAAAAAAATATTATATTTTTAAAAATTCTATATTGATGTACAAGTAAGGAGAATAGAATTAGGAACCAATACACCC